CCAGCAATAACCTGGGGATGCAGGATGTGCCCCCCCGGCTCTCGGGGTGCTGGCGGGGGAGGCGCACGTCCCTCGGCACCCGCTGTCCCCGGGGCTTGGTGGCTTTGGTCGTGCATGCACAGACAAATTAACCTTTATCCTTTCCAGAGAGAGAAGAGCTGTATATATATATCGGCAGAGATATATATATATATTCTATATTTGTATAGAGAGAGAGAAACTATAGAGAGATTTGTTTTATGTGGAGCCATTCCCGCCCGGCCGGGGCGAGAGGGAGGATGGAAATGGCAGCGCTTTGCCCCCGCCCCGCTCGCGCCGTGCCCCCCGCCCCAGGTGGGCACCGGGGGGCACCAGCATCCCAAAGCAATCAATAAATCCAATAAATCCGTGTGCCACTCGCTGAGAACCGCCCGGCGGCGCTGGCCCTTCCTTCCTGCCCCCGCCTTGGGAGAAGGACTGGGAGGTGGGAGAGCGTTTGGGGGATAAAATGGTGGTTTGGTGTTTTATAGGGAACTTTACGGGTCTGGTGCCATGGGATGGGGCAGGGTCCCCCTCCCCCAGAAACAGCCACCCCACATGGCAGGATGCAGCCAGGAGTAACCCCTGATCCCGGGCTGATCCCCACTGCAGGACCAGGACCAGCCCCAAGGGACTCGGAGTCCTTTTCCCCTGGGATGGACGCTGGGTTTGTTTCACGTGTCTTTAATAGAAACCGCCGGCGGTGGGGCAGAGCCCCGTACAAAAGCTGGCTGCAGGAATCGGGGATTGCATAGACCGAGGTGTGGGGGACCCCCCCACCCTCAAATAGTCGCCTTTTAGAAAACAAAAAGCGTCTCTGAATAAAACTCTCCTGGTACAATAAATACTCTGGTGCTGCAGAGCTGGGGACCATGCACCCGCCTGCCCTGTTTGGGATGGCCCCGAGCTGGGAGATTCCCGGGTTCAGAGTCACCACTTTGGGATGAACCCGGGTCTGAAACCCCCAGCTAGGGATGGTCCTTGTTTGGAATGCTTCCGGATCGGGACCCGGGGTGCCCTGGGTCAGGCAGGACCCCCCATGTCAGGATTCCATTTGGGAGCCTCTGGGTCAGGGTAGCCTGGTTTGGTTTTCCCCCAGCTCAGAAGTCCCTGGGCTGGGAGCCCCCAGGTCGGGATGTCCCTGGTTTGGGATCCCTGCTTCAGACACCCTTGCGGTTTGGGATCCCTGGTTCAGGCACCCTTGTGGTGAGACACCCCTGTTGGGGAGCTCCCCGATCCGTCCAGGACCTGCTGTACAGCTGCTGGGGTGGTGCTCCCATCCATGGCTCAGAAGCTGGACTCGGGCACGGCCNAGGTAACCCCGGGGGAGGGTCCCGGGAGGGGGGCAGAGACCCCCGGCACGGGGACAGTGGCCCTGAGGAGGCAGCAGTGTGCCCTGGAAGGTGGGCATGTCCCCTGGGAGGTGGCACCCTCCCCGCAGAGGTGGAACTGGAAAGGCAAAAATGTGTCCGGGAAGGTGGCGGTGTTCCCCAGGAAGGTGACAGTGTCTCTGGAAAGGCAGAACCGTCCCCAGGAAGATGCTGATGTCCCCAGGAAGGTGACAATGTCCCCAGAAAGGCAGAACTGTTCCCAGGAAGTTGGTGTTGTCCCCAGGAAGGTGACAATAGCCATGTACTCGGGAGGGTGGTGATGCCCCTGGAAAGGTGGAACTGTCCCCAAGACGGTGGTGATGAGCCCAGGGAGGTGCCAAGGCATTGGGAAGCTGGCAGTGTCCCCTGGGAGTTGGCAGTGTCACCAGGAATGTGGCATCCCCGGAGCTGTGCTGCTGTCCCTACTGCTCTCCCTGGGCCCTGGTGGTGCCGTGTGCCCCCGGGGTCCCTGCGCTGCTGAGGGGACAGCCAGGGGCGTGCTTGGGAAGTGCAGATGGCATTGGGGACTACAGAGGACAGAGAGGCTGGTGGGGGGGTCCCAGTGTCCTTTCCATGGGACCTGGCAGGAGTCAGGGCTCTGTCCCTGCGTGCCTGCCCTGCCTGTGAGGGGTGGGCAGGCACGAGTGGCAGAGAGGGAGTGGTCACTGTGTCCCCAGGGGCTGTGTCCTGCCTTTGGGTGGCACTGGCACCTGTGTGGCTCTGCCAACGCATTGCTGTGGGCCTGGCAGGGCACTCTGGCATGGATGCAGCCCTGACACACACCTGGCATCACCCCTGGCTCCCCTGTGCAGCTCCCCTGTGCCATTGTGGGACAAGATCCCTGAGCCACATCCCTGAGAAATATTCCTGGGCAACATCCCTGGGCAATATCCCTGAAAAATGTCCCTGGGCAATGTCCCTGAGAAATGTCCTTTGTGTAATGTCCCTGGGCAATGTCCCTGAGCAACATCTCTGAGAAATGTCCCTGAGCAACGTCCTTGAGCTGGGCAGGGGTGGCAGAGGTGCTTCTTCTGTCTGAGGGGGTTGCTCTGCTCTCAGCAAGGGACAGGGTGACACTGCCTGGTGTGGCTATGGTCACCCTGTCACTTCACACGTGCANCAGCCACCCCCAGCACTGCAGCCCCTGTGCCAGGGTGGGCAGGGCATGGGCTTGCCAGAGATGCCCGTACCTGCTCCTCCTTGGTGTAGAGCTGGAAGCATTCATCCAGGGTGCAGCTGTGCTGCTGCCCGTGCGCCTGCTGCTGCCGCCTCACGCTCTCTGCATCCTGCACCACCTCCTCCTGGATGCTCCCAAACAGCCTGGGGGGGCACGTCACCACTGAGGATGACTCCAATGCCAGGGTGTCCCCTCAGCCCGGGCACAGGGGACTTACCGCTCTTTGGTGCTCATGTCCCACTCCACCGTCAGCCTCACGTGGGGAGGGCCCCCGGCCCCGCACAGCTGCAGGGCCCTGAGGGGAGGACAGGGTGAGATGTCCCCAGAACCCCTGTCCCCATGGGGACACCTCCTTGCCAGCCTGTGGTGGCAGGCAGGGACAGCCAGCACCTTCCACACTGGGAACACTGGGCTGGGGACCCAGTGCTGGGGCAGCAGAGTGACCACACTGTGGCCACCCAAGGTGTCACCACTGGGCACTCATGGTGACAACACAGCCATGCAGAGGGACCCTGTGCCCACTCATGGTGATGCCACTAACCACCCCCAGGGGTTGAGGGGACATCCTGGGGACAGTCCTGTCCCTGCAGCCCCTTACCTGTCGATGGCAGGGTGGCAGAGAGGATGGGGATCCTGAGGGGACAGGTAGGTGCAGGGGGCCGAGCCCCCGGCCAGGCGGATCCGGAAAAGGGCTCCTGTGCCCTGTGAGGGGAGAGGGGGCTGTGGGGCCACCAGGGGACAGGGATCCCCTGCCCAGCAGCAGCACCTGGCCAAGCCAGGCCTTGGGACACGGGGCAAACACAGCCCCCGAATTTGGATGGCTTTGAGGGCACAGGGCTGTTCCCTGGGCTCACCTGTGGCCGGACCTCTCCCCGCAGGACCCCCCTCAACTGGGCCAGGATGTTCTGCTGCAGCTGCTCCCAGGAGACGCCGCGCTCCTCCCGCAGCACCAGTGGCGGCCCAAACCTGGGCACAGGCAGCAGGGACATGGGCTGGGTGTCACATGGGTGAGAAGGGGGCGGGACAGGATGGCAGGACAGGGTGGCAGG